GTATTTCCTAAGGGGTGGCCAGATCAGATGGATCTGCATGTTTTATTATATGCTGGATGCCCTTAGCCAGGTTTAGGACTGGAAATAATAATAATATAGTGTACATACTCATGTATATTTTCATATTCATATATTTTCACTTTTAAAAGCACTCATAGTTAAGCTCCTGGATATGAATGCAGGACACTCATCATCACTTGGGGACACTGCTTTAAATTTTACATTTATACAAAGCGCTTAGGGACACTTGACAGCAAAATTATTTATTTTTCTGAATTTAATCTTCGTTTGAGGTCGAAGAAAGTGGCCCACTTTTTTCTAAACCTGCCAAACAAAATAAAATATTAGTTACTTATAAATGTCAGACTTCTTATAAAACGGATGCAGTTTTTAGGGACAAAATAAACATGAATTTTTCGTTACGTTTGTTGGGGGAGTTTGGGCTTTGGCGCTGTGGGCCATCTCGGCTTGAAAAAGTCTCGACCTTTTTTCCCATAATGCACTGCAGGATTTTCGTACTTCCTCTTTCCGCCATATTGCAGAACCGGTAAGATGTCTTTTTACATCGTCACCTTCAATCTTTTAAGTATCTAAAGCATCATATTGTGAAATAATCCATAAGTTAGTCCATTTCGAAGTAAGAGTTGGTAGTAATGATTTGGGCTGATTATGGTTTCCATTAGTGAAGCGGATTCATATTTTTTGTCCTGTGTTAGCGGGACTGCCTGGCCCCTATCAGGGCGGCTTGATTGCTTGATAGCTGTTAGCTTTGCTCCCAGTTATGCGAGTTTCAAATGTCCAACGAATTAGGCATTTTAGCTGTCCGTACAGGTCTGTATGTGGTACATATTGTCGATAATATTTTGACTATTGTAACTGCAGAACTAAGGACACTACTTATTGTGGCGTTTGCAGGCGGATAAGCTAAGTAGCTAATCTGAGTGCTCATGAATGACCATGCTTCAGTGGAAGGCTCCGTTTTTCCTCTCTTAGTGTAACTGAAGCCACAGCATTACTTGTCAAGAGTAAAGTGTGAGCAGTATTTAACCTGCGATCTCTGGAAAATATTAGCGTGGAGGCTCATAATTGTAGAAAAAGGTCGGCATGATTCGTGTTAGCAAGGTTTTGCTAACTAGGCTTTCTTTTACTTAAGTCCTCCTTTGTAGTGTAGTGAACGTTTTTGTCAAATTCAATGAGTTTTTTTGTAACGTTTCACCATCAGTGTTCTATTGTAATCTGTAGAGCGTAGATGGTGATGATACTCACGAATTTCCTTCTTGTCCAGGCCTTTGGATCTAATGCTAAAAGTCTTTTTTGTGTGTTTCCACAGGCATCATGGTGCGCATGAACGTTCTCGCAGATGCTCTCAAAAGCATCAACAATGCTGAGAAGCGTGGGAAACGTCAGGTCCTCATCAGGCCCTGCTCCAAGGTTATTGTGCGCTTCCTAACCGTCATGATGAAGCACGGTGAGTGTTGTTATGTTAAAGGTGTGTGCGCGTTCCAAGTTGATACTTTATGTACCACATGCAGTTGTAAAGCATCTCGAAGGGCTGACTGCTTTGTTTGTGTGTACAGTTGGTAAAAGTATAACTTCAGTTTAATTTGAGACATCTAGAAGCGCCCTGATGTGTTTAACTTAATGTATATAATAATTATGCACATTAATAACGTGTTTAACTTAATGGTCTTTGCCATTTGTGCCTTGCAGGTTATATTGGTGAGTTTGAGATCATTGATGACCACAGAGCCGGAAAAATTGTTGTCAATCTCACAGGCAGGCTGAACAAGGTAAATAGAACCAACCTGCGCTGTTATTCATGTCACTTCTTTGATAGTTTTAAACACATGCTTTGTTTCTTTTGCTATGAATGACTGAAGGAAATATAATTTTATGTTAGTGCCGTTTAAGTTAACTTGGGTCTTAAAGGGCTTCTAGTCATAATGGCGACAGAGAAGCAGTTTCTATACAGTCTTTACAGTTATGTACCAATAAGTCAGTGACCATTGTTTTCATTTCGATATGTTAAACTTGGTTTAACTCTTATCACTGTCTAGCCTTGCTTGTAGCTTTAATGGTTTGTGAATGGAGTCTAAACCACTCTTTCTCTCTTGTCAGTGTGGCGTGATTAGTCCACGTTTTGATCTCCAACTCAAGGACCTGGAGAAGTGGCAGAACAACCTGCTGCCCTCAAGACAGTTTGGGTGAGAACTATTTGTCGTCACACTTTTAATGCAAAAACCAATAGAAATGAGCAACCAGGTATTTTTAAGTGTATTTTGGCCCCTAAATGTCTCTATGTGATGAGTGAGGCTCTGGGTTGAAAGGTGCACCATTTGCTCCTCTGATGCCTTCTCTTTGTTGGCCCTGCCTGACAAAATGGTGTAGTTGGTTAGTGTTTTAGGTGGTTAACTGTGTCGATCCATATGTCTCGATTTGTCATGAGTAACTGTAGCTTAAGTATCGCCGTTTGTCGCTTTTAAATGTTTTGTGCACAATGGAACTGGACAAAGATTTATTTTGTATAAGGCAGCCACAAGTGGGTGTTTTTATTTATTTATTTTAAATTGCGCTCTTAATAGTTTTTCAGACAGATGTGTGACTAGTGCAGAACTATACTAGGCCCATTGATCAGATGGCTACCACACTGTTTCTGTAGTCCTGCACACATTACATTGTTAATGTGTTTCCCTGTTGGTTGGATGATCTGTCTGAAAGATCATTTTACGATCTGTTACAGTTGTGATAGAGAGGGCAGAGAGGACATTGCTGCTGTCTCAGCCTGTAGCTGAGTTTAAAGATATGCAGCTGATTGAAGTGTCTTCATAAAAAAAAAAAACAGCTTTAAGAAGCATTAAAAACACGTTTAATGCTTCTTGAGCAGGTGGTGTGATAAAGTACTCTAATTGTCTTTTTACTCAAAGGTTTTGATGTAGTTTGTGCTTACAGTAGGGCTGTAATTTAATTTTATTTACAATTTTGTCTCCAGGTGCTATGAAAACAGGATGAAATGGCTACTTTATTTTTTACATTCATTATTGCTTCCCATACCCATGTTTTATAAATCACTTGTGTACATTTATTTTACTCTCACAGTTTAGTCTCACTCTAATCAAG